TATACTTATATTTTTACAAAATTTATTTTTTAGATTTTATAATTAATTATTGTTATTATTACATTTTACTTTCTATTCAATATTTTTAGATATAAATACTATGCCATGTAATATAATAATTTATTGATAAATCCAGAACTTTATATATATATATATATATATATATATATATTAAACAATTTTTTTTATTTTATTTTATTTGTCACTTAAAAAATATTAATTAAATTTTATAACTTTATTATTATTTCTTAAATATTCATTAAGTAAAATTAAAATATTAATAGATTGATAATAGTACTTTTGAGTATTTTGATATTAAATAATTTAATCAAATATAATTATTATTATTTCATGATTTTCGCTTTTTAGTAAATCTTTTAATTACTATATGGTTAGTTTAAATTATAATTATTTAAAAATAAACGTTTAAATATTTATCAAAAAATAAAATAAATTGTGGACAATAGATAATCACGTGAACGATTAAAGCACTGATAGTTTCTGACTTCTATACTGGACGGATAAAACACAGGTAAACCAGATGCTTGAGAATTTAAAACTTTAACATTTTCTGATATTTAGTATTGTTATTGTAGACAGTGGGTGATATTATATCACTAATAAATTTGAACCCATGTATAAAGCAGAGGAGGTAGATGATCAGGATTATCACTGTGTAATTAAAAATATTAAAAACAGACTTACTTGTCAGTGGCAGAATGATGAAACAGACAGAATGAAAGGATGAATATATGCAGTATAAGAGGAATTAAATCCGAGCCCACAGAACGTGTCTCCTTAAGACAATTTGCCCCCTCACTGATGCCTAAGGTTGATGGACACTTGTCTCCCAGGATAGAACGGATTTCGTCTGAAGAACGGTGGCACTACCAATCAACAGCCCAAACGAACACAACAAAATGCCAGAGGAAGTCACACCGGAGGATGAACAACAGTATGCAAAACCGGAAGAAGAAAAATTCCGGCAGAGTTTAAGTGCAGGAAAAACTGGATAGATTTCTGAAGGTGTCAGTGTCTATTTATAGACACTGACCGGTCACGATGAACAGTCGCCGGCGGCGAACCGCCGTGTCTGATGGCGGCGAACGGTGACTGTTCCGACGAACAGATACGACCGGTGACCGGTTCAGCGAGCAGACACAACCGGTGACCGGTTCACGAAGGGAAAGAACCGGTTCGGTTCAATACTGCTCAAAAAACCGGCGGGTAGAAACGTTTTTGGTTGGAGGGAAGCAACGGTAAATATTAAAAAATAATTTAATAAAAAGTTATTACACACTATGAACCGAACCGAACCGAACCGATCCGGCCGGACGGCGGCGGCGCGCGTGGTGAACCAATGCTCACCTAGCTCTCCCCCCTACATAAAACATGTAGTGACCCAAGGGCCAATCTAAGAGAGGGAAGTGGGAGCTTATATACTCTCCCATTTCCTACTAATTGTCCAATGTGGGACTTGTTGAAACCCACACACCTCTTCATCTTCCCTTTTTCTCTTTTCTTTATTAACTCACTTCTTATTCATAACCAATGGATCATTGTACATTAATTCATTCATTAATTCCAACAAGTATATAAGTTGGGCATGAATCACATTGATCATTGAAGCTTTGAGTTTCCACATCCATAATGTTGATTATATTAAACCCGTATAATGGGTCATATAGCTTTAAGAGATATAAGTGATATTGAGCTTTATTTATTAAATATTTTTATAAATAAAGGGTTAAATTTATGGATTCGTTTTTTCTGCAGTCAATGTAGATAAGTTATCTATATTGAGTTCAAAACGACGTCGTTTTGGGATAGAAATCAAGATATTTTTGTAATTATAATTTATTTAAAGATTATAATAGTCTTTCTCATTATAATTTTTTAATTTTTCAATTCAAAACGACGTCACTCTGAGGGTGCGCATGACAACCTTCCCGGAATTATTTTTTTTTAATTTCTGTTCCCGAGAACAGAAATGGATAGAAAACTTGTTTGGTAAAATCAGTTTATTTTTTTGTTTCCGGGATGAACCGGTTTATTTTTTGTGCTGGGGAACAGAAAAAAGAATCAATAAATTTCTGCTTTTTTGATTCTGGGCACATAAAGAGAAACAATTATCTCTCTCAATTACTCTCCACCACTACCATCATCACCACCGCCACCACCATCCCGACACGACCACCGCTACCATCGTCGTACTACCACCACCACTACCACCGTCATTACCACCACCATCACTGTCACCACCATTATCACTACCACCACCATCACCATCATCGTACCCATTGCCATCACCACCACGCTACCACTACTATCGCCATCGCCACTACCGCAACCACCACCACCGCCACCATATCATCTCCATCACCATCGTCGTAAACACTACTGTCACCACTACCACCGCCACCACCACTACCGCCGTCGCCACCACTACTACCATTATTATGTCACCGCCACCTCCACTACCACCACCATGTCATCATCACCACCATCGTCGCAGACACTGCCGTCATATCCACCACCACTATCGCCGCCACCTGCCACTATGCCACCATTACCACCACTGCCGCTGCCACCACTACCATTATCATGTCATCGCCACCATCACTACATTATCGCCACCACCACCATGTCGTCACCATAACCACCACTAGTGCCACCATTATCACCACCATCATTGCGGCCACTGCTGTCACGGCCACCATCACCATCATCACCACCACCACCACCACCGCCGCCACCGCCACCATCACCACCACCATCGCCGTAGCTACTACCGTCACCACCACCACACCATTACCACCACCACCACCACACCACTACCACCACCATTACCGCGGTCGCTGTCACCATTACCACCGTCGCCGCCGATACTACCATGCCTTCACCATTATTGTCACCGCCACCACCACCATGCCATCACCTCCACCACCACCACCATGACACCACTGCTACCGCCACCATCACCAACACGCCACTATTACAACCACCGCCGCCGCCGCCGTTACCACCACACTATATGAAAATGAAAGTGATGATCCAAATCTTTTTATGCTTAATAGGAATGGTTTTTTATTCTATTATTTGTTGTGTTATCAAACACAATTCTCATTCTCGGAATGAAAATAAAATATGTTATCAAACACATTTTTTTATCAGAAATTGTTTCAAGGCATAGAAATAGAAAATAATTATTTCTTTTCAGAAACAGTGTCAGAAAACAGATTGGTTGCCATGCACACTCTAAGAGTGAAAATAGATAACTAAAAGTGTCAACATGTTGAATTAGAAGAAGCCAACACTGTGTTGGTTAAAAAAGCTTATTCATGTTACATGATAAAAGAAATTTTATATTGTAGACATATAATGGTGGGGTTCATTATCTAAGAAAAAAAAAAGAAAAAAAAAGGTTACACGATTATTAAAAAGTGAGTATGAAAGAAAACTTACCTCATGTAATATGAGAATAGCTTTTTCCATAAAAAAGTTGTAATAAGAGATATAATTTGAGATATGAATTTGTTACGAAGAAAATAAATAAGATATTTGAGTTTGAGAAGAAGACAGGACAACCGTACAGAAATCCCAAAAAATCTAGAAGTTAGCTATGCATCTAAGTGTGTGTTTTTTTGGACTTCCTTGTTTGGTTAAAGTTTTTGAAATATTTAGTCATGCATCCGTTTTGTCCGGCCGTTTATATTTGTATGGAAAATTAGAAAAAGATCACTGTTGAAAAATACCTCTTACAAGGTGGTATTTCAAGTTGCCTAGGCTAATGGGAGAAAGAAGACCATTTCGATGCCAAAAATCTCCTATGCTATTAGGCAACAATGTTTGCTACAAGGGTTATTTCGTGTTTGAAGTTATTTTTCCATCAATTTTTTTACTTCCAACAAAACATAGACTCAATAAATTTAATCCAATTTTTCTGGTAAAATTTCGGCCAACAAAATAACTTTTTTTCAACTTCACTATCAAACTCATTTTCTAACCAAATTTCTAGTAATTGTATTTTTCTAGTAAAAAAAAAATTATCATCTACCAAACGTCCCTAAAAAGTTAAGATAGGATTCTAAGACAAGAATAATATTTATATTTCCCATTAAAAAATTTAGATTTTTAGATACTAAAATATTGTTTACTTTTTGTTTAAAATTCTAAGTAAACACCCCTGGATTTGGATAAATCGAGTATTAAATGACTTTTTTTTATAATCCTTTAAAATCTTATTTTGAATACCAATAAATTCTTCTATCCAAAAATAACTCTTTAAAATCTTAATCCAATACAAAATCTTTTCTAATTACTAGCACCGTCTTAATAAGAAAAGTAAAAAAAAAAAAAAAAACTAAAACTAACTTGGAGTTAGAATTTTCAAAAAAAAAATATTACATTCATATATCTCTTTAGTTTGAATAAAAATTAATTTTATAAAATTTTAAGTAATAATCAAATACCTTATATCTAAAAAATAATCTTACCATATCTCGATATTTAAATTTTTGAAAGATATCAAGCATGGAGTGTTTGGTAAGGTGAATTTTTTGAGATTACCAGAAAAATGATAATGGTAATCTTATTTTTTTCATATTTGGTATAAAGTTTTTGAAAATTTTCTCTGAAATTTGATTTTTTTCGAAATTTTATTTTTTGTATAATTTTTTCACAAAATGTCATCCAAAAAAGTGGTATTCTTGGAATCTCAGGTGTTGGGACAATTTTACACTTTTTTTGGAATAAAATTCCTATGATATTTTAACTTATCAAATATTTTTCTGATAACATTTTCGAATAAGTGACTTTTCCACAATTTTCCTAAAAATTATGATTTTCCGCTCTAACAACGTCCACCGAAACCCAATTTTCTTCAAAAAGATAACAATAGTGGGCCGGGCTCCAAGGCCCACTTAGCCCGTTTCTTCTTCTCTTGTCACGCAAGTTGCTCAGAGGTTGTTTTGTTTCGTTTGTTTTTGTTAACAACGGACGTTGATGCGTTAGACATGGAAGACGACAACAATAATGGCGGTGCCACCACGAGGAGGTCCAAACACCGTAAGAGGAAGGAGTACAAGCTCGACGACGATGGCCATGTGGCGGCGCGAGAGAAGCTCGCCAAGAGAATCCTCTTGTCGCTCGCAAAGCCTTCTTACGTCCTCGGACTCGCACCCAAACCTCTGAGGTCGGAACACCGTACGAGGTTGCGCTACCTGCTGCAGAGGCTCGTGAAACAGCACAACTGGGTCGAAGCCAGTGGTGTTCTCAGTGCTTACTTGAAGGGAACCGTTAACGACACCTCTCCCTTCAGGAACCGTCTTAAGTTTTCGGTATATTTGATTCATTACTCCAAATTTCTGAAATTTTTTGTTTTATGGGGCTTTGAGATAAGAAGAAAATTTATGATATATGATTGTTGAGGTTGGAGTGAGTGAGTTTTGGAACATCATCAACGACATCAATATCATCTTTATCCCAAATTAATCTTTATTTCAAATTAATTGGAGTCGGCGGTAGATGAAACCATGCGAGAAATACAAAATGTTAAAAAAAATAGTATATATATATATATATATATATATATATATATATATATATATATATATATAAATAAGTGAAAAAAGAAAGGGGAAAAGAAGAAGCGGGGGAAATGAAGGGGAAAAGGACTAAATAAATGAGTGAGTTTTGGAACACTGGAAAGATTTTATAAGAAGTTTAGGTTCTTGAAATTTTGGTATCTGAAGATGGCTCAGGCAGTGTGAAGTCTCATTTGCTTCCAAAAGGTTAACTTCGCTTCAGTTATTGATCATATTGTTTGATCACAGTCTATTTGAGAGATATATGTTTACTGGCTGAGATGAAAATGGTATAATCTGACTCAGAAATCCTTACGGGGATTTCCTTAATGGTTGTATTCATGACTTTATATGGTTGAGTTGAGTTGATTGGTAAACTGTACCTAAAATGTCACTTTTCTCTTTAGATAAGCAAGCTCTTATGGTAATTGTGATACCTATAATCTTGGTGGCTGTTGTAACTTGTAATACCGGTCCCTTCATGACTTCAAATATGCAGTGCTAATAGAAGTGAATTGATAACATGATTCTTGTGTGTTTTTTATGATTTACATATTACATGAAGTCTTTTTTAATTGATTAAAGTGCCTCAGCCTTGCTCCTATTCCCTTTCTACCCTCCTGTTGAAACTGCTACACTTTGTTTCTGCAATTTCTTCTATCATTCATATCCATAGTTAGTTTCTGAACACCAGAATGTATGCTGGTATACATATATATGTATGTAGGTTTTACTGGAGCTTCTTAAGCATGTGGAAAGCCATTCTATTAATCCATCAAGGATCAAGAATATATATGATATTTGGTCGAAGAAGATTGGATCAATGAAGAGTTGGCCGGTGGAGGTATATTTCAGAAACTTTTTCCCCCTAAATGCTTTATAATGGTTACCTTTATGTTAAATGTTTACAAAATTTATTTTTTGTTTGCAGCTAACTATTTTTGACTTATGGCTGGTTCTCCAGTCCCTGTTGGTTATCACCTTACTTTTTTCGTATAAAAGTATGTAAAATGGAAAGTTTAAGGTTTAAGCTGAGAGAAATTGTTATGAATGACAAAAACAACAGACAGAAAAATAACAATTTCAATAAAAGATTGAGAGTCTTCTAAAGGACTTGAATTTTCTTTGGTGGAGGGTGTAGTTCTATATCAGAAATCTAGTCTTCATTAACAACCAATGCTTACTTTAATTCTAGTTGATAAATAAATTATGTTTTGCAATTGATACATTAGTTATGAATTTATGCTGCCAGCTTGGTTGTTAAGACTTCAGTTCTTAATGTAGAATTTTACTTGTGGAGCAGAGCAGATATGCAGTTCAGTTGGAGTTCATGTTATTCTGTCTTATGCAAGGCAATACTGGGGATGCATATCAGCTTGCTCTATGGTATGTAATATTAGTTTTTAATGCTTAGTCCTTTGCCTCTATGGAGAACTATGAGTCTTACCATGATGCCTAGGAATGGATTGTTTCACAACTTGTCGTTGCTAGATAATGTGGTCAACTTGTTGTATGCCATTATTATTATATTTTTATTTAGTTAGTTAGTTGGACCATAAGCAGTAGAAACTTTACATTTCGTGTCGTTTCTACGATTTACGTTTCTGCCATCTCTTTCCGTTTCTATGCAGAAACTCGATTTTGACAACATTAGATAGGTCACACACACTGAAGATTTCTAAATGGGTTAGCTCACCTCACCACTCTAAATATACTGGAAATTGTCAGCTACCTAAGAGAGATACAGAGCTCTTAGGATTCTCACCACTCAAGAAATTTACGCAAAAGATACATTGAAATTGTTTCTTTTATCATCTAGCATAAGTATCAGTATATATAAGTCGCTATAGAACAAGTGAACAACCCTATCGGTATCAGTATAGTTAAGTGTCTAGATACAATTTGTCAAATAAATGTAACTTGACTTTAATATGACTGAAATACCCGTGACATGTTTTTTAACTTATGTGTAATATAAAATGGTATTAAATGCGAACATTCCATTGACAATTTTTTTTCCTTCATTAATGATGATTTTCACTTCAGAAATACTCGCAAGATTTGAGTGTGGGGGTTACCAGGCTCTGATTTTTTTCTTCTTCTTATTCCTTTTGCTTTCTCTTTTCTTTTTCATTTATTTTGTCTTTTGGTTTCTCCTCTAGCCTGGAGCAAGAAAAAGTTGATATTGATCCTGTGTCGAAGATAATGATGGGTTTGACATTCTATGAGATGTGGTATTCTTCCATCCCCAAAGAATTCCAGTGGAGAGATTCAGACCAGTATGACATGCAAGAGAACTCACATATGGAGGGAGCCTCATATAGCAACGAAGTTAGACACTCAGTGTGGCATAATACAGTTGAATCCCACATGGAAGACTCCCAATATCAATGTGATTCTGATTCCTCTGTCATGAATGATAAGCAGATACCAAGGGATGTTGGCTTCAACGAAGACATGGGAGTTTCTATGGAGGTTGATGTTAACAATGAAAGAGAAAAACAATGTCAGAACTTTCAGCCGGAGGGTTTTTACTTGAATTCTGATGAGCAAAAAGAAATTGGAGACAATGGAGTTCTTACACATGATACCTTGTATGCTCTTGGTAAGTTTTTTATTTGCTGATTAATCATTAACGGGAAAAATCTATTTCTTGTGGGTACATAATTGTGTGGGAATGCGAATGTGTGCATATAATTGTATATGGATTTACCTACCTTAATATTTTTTCTCGGACCAAAAATATTTTGTCTTGCTCATTACCCTGATAAGGCTAGGTTGTAATTTTCTCTTTTTCCATGATTGCTTTTTTGTTGCAACCCCTGATTAGTCTATCAGTCTAAATATTACTCAGCATTTCTAGGTTTAGATAGTGATTACTCTTTGGTTCACCTGTAACTTCAATATTGATCTTATTATGCATTTACATAGGGAGACTTGATTTGTGGCTGTTGCCCTTGCGTTTTTCGGATGAGAACAGTTTTGAGGAGTTCATGGACATGCACAGAAATCAGCATACTGATTATTATAAAAATGCAGTGAAATATTTACAACAAGCTCTCAACTCAACACCCTCAGGATCAGTGGCATTACTTCCATTGATACAGGTATGGCGCACTAATTTCAAATAATTTTGGATCCACATAACTACATCTTGAATTTCGTTTAATGTGTTGACTGGTAAACTAGAAATCAGGTTCACAACTGCCGAAGAAATAACTAGTTATGTAAACCCAATCCCCCTCCCTCCCCCAACAAAAGAAAAAAAAAAGATGAAGCTGATAGATTTTGTACTCCCATTTTTGGCAATAATATATGTTGCAAGTTGGTGATGATGATGTTATTCATAAATTAGTTTCTGACGCAATGTTTTCTGAAATATGGTACTGCTAGAGACATAAAACTGTTCCTAGTCTCAATTACTTAAGCTTTTGCGACACTTGGTCCTTGACATTGTATTTTTTTTAAATCCTCTTAGGAGTTCAATCCTTGTAATCTCTATTCTTCATAATTAAATTAAATTTAAGTAGGCTTGAGCACATCAGCACATCCTTAAATTCCCTTGCATGAAAGGGTGGGTTAGAGATTCTTGCATGAAACAGTGTGTTAAGAGATTAAAAAATATTCTTAGGTCTCAACCTAACATCCAAGCTTTTGGGGGATCTGGGATGCTTAGTATTTCTAATTGGCCTTAACTCCATCCGCATGCATATTTATCACACATAATATGGAAATTTCAGCAGCTTGGATTATTTGAAATCAATTTTCCATCTTAACTAGCACAAAGCAACTAATTGTGATCTGCAATCTTACAGTAAGTTTCCTTTTCTGTATGCAGGTGTATATAATATTTTGGATCTGCTGTAAACATTAAATTATTCAACAATTGTTTTCTGCTTGGAATAATGTTTGAGATATCAACAATTGCTTCACTTTATTTTTTGTTGCCAGCTGTTGCTGATTGGAGGTCAAGTTGATGAGGCTCTAAATATCCTTGAGAAGCAATGCTGTAGTTCAGCCTCTGTACTCCCTATTAGGTACACATCCCTTATCTTATTATTGTTAACGCACAGAAATATGGTCATTAATCCAGCAATTTCTTAGATAAGCAAGTTGTGGTACTTTATTCAATGCTTTTTGTTATCTTTACAAAGTTAGCGGATGTTCACTCTTGCAGATTAAGGGCTGCTCTCTTGGAGCGTTTTGATCGAAACAAATCTCTCTTTCTTCTTAGCTGTTATGAAGATATATTAAAGAAGGATCCAACATGTTGTGGTTCCTTAACAAAACTTATCAGGATGCATGAAAATGGTACTTTCACTCTGACTCGGTCTTTTATATGATTTGAATATTTTTCATATCTCTTAGCTTGAAAGAGGGTTATGACAAAAGGTGGAAAATAAAAAGAAAGGAAAAGAAACAAAAAATAAGTGATCCTGAAAGAGTTGGAGACTGGAGTTCATTTGGAATTATTGAAGAACTCCCAGCTTCAATATTCTGTATTGGCCTCTGTTGTAAATATTAGGTCTTTTATTATTATTAGTATTTGTTGTATTGGGCCAAGCCCATTAGGTCAAGAATTAGGTTTTTTAGTCTCTATAAATAGAGACCTCTTTGTATCAGATTAATACACAATTCAATAATATTTCAAATACCTTTTTCTTTCAAGTTGGTATCAAAGCTCTCGATCCTGAGGGCTCTGCTTCCGTGCCTATTGTCTTTAGAACAAGAACCTTTTATTCTTTTTGTCTCTCGCTGCCATCAGCCGCCACCGGATTTTTTTTCCGGGGACCTCTTGGACCGAGAAGATCTCTGTTATACTGGATCTCTGTTACTGTTCATCGTCTCTGTTACTGTTCATCGTCTCCATTATTCTTCATCACAAGACAGCATCTGTTCATCACGATTGGACCCTTTCCCGGTGGTTTTTCAACTCCGAACAGACCCAGAAAGAACCGCGCTCACCGGACGACGTTGCTCCAGAAAATTCAGACCGGACGGCCACCGCACGCGCCCACACGCGCCGCCCCTTCAACCGCGAGTGAAGCCCACACGCAGCCAATCTCACCGGCGCTTGGCGGCGCGTGAGACCATTTTTCCGGATCGGACCACCGCGATCTTGATCGTCCCTTCATCCTCTTTCTGGATCTGTGCTCCTCTCTTTGATCGGACATCGTTTGGTATTTATTTGTGATTTTTTGGCTTCTTGGAGCTTTTCTTTGACCATTTTATGTGCAGTATGGCCTTTTCTCAAATGAGTTCTTTTTCAAAATTTTATGATGGTACCTCTTCTAGACCTAAGAGAGATGATCGATGGTGTTCTTATTGTAAAAGAACAGGTCATATCAAGGATTTATGTTTTCGCCTTTATGGAAAGCAAACTGTCTTAGAAAAGATGGCAAGGATGCATGGTCAAGCGCATTTTACTTCTTCTGAAATAACCCCTGCACCTAATGAGACCCAATCTGCATTTCGTCCAGATGAGTTGGAACGACTCCGAACCATTCTTGATTATCTGAGTAAGCCATCTGATACTAGTGCTTTGGCTATGACTGGTATGAGCTCCAGAACTCATTCTTTCATTTCTTCATGTAATGATTTTAAACATTCTTGGGTTGTTGATTCTGGTGCTACTGATCATATGGCTTGTTGTGCTGACTCCTTTATTTCTTATCATCCTACCATTGGAACTCATACAATATCCATAGCTGATGGCTCACATACATCAGTTGCGGGTTCTGGTGACATAAACTTACAGCAGTCCTTACATCTTAAGGATGTTCTTCATGTTCCTAAACTCTCCACGAATCTTCTTTCTATTCACAAAATTACAAAAGATTTGAATTGTACTGTAACCTTCTTCCCTACCCATTGTGTTTTTCAGGATCTCGCCACGGGGAAGACGATTGGTAGTGCTAAAGAGCAAGGTGGGCTGTACTATCTGGTGTCACAATCTCCCGCAAATTAAGTAACAGATCACACCTTCATGTCTCATGGTCAATCAACTGCTGATTCTTTAATTTGGCTGCATCATAAGCGTTTGGGTCATCCTCCATTTAGTTTACTCAAATCTTTATTTCCGTCATTGTTTTTGTCTAAATCTGTTGAGTCTTTTCATTGTGATGTTTGTGAATTTGCTAAGCATCATCGTGTGTCTTTTCCTTCTAGTATTACTAAGAGTGTTGAACCTTTTGATCTTATTCATTCTAATGTTTGGGGTCCTTCTAAGGTCCCTTATTCTTCTGGAAATAAATGGTTTGTTTCTTTTATTGATGATTGCACTCGTGTAACTTGGGTTTACTTAATGCGTGAAAAGTCTGAGGTACCACATCTGTTCTTTCAATTTTATAAAATGATTGAGACTCAATTTTGTAAAAAAATCAAAAGACTAAGGACAGATAATGGTACTGAATATGTCAATCACTCTTTTTCCCAATTTATACAAAATCAAGGTATAATTCATGAACTTACTTGTGTAGACACCCCTCAACAAAATGGGGTTGCTGAAAGGAAAAATCGCCACCTTCTTGAAGTTGCTCGTGCCTTACTGTTTCAAACACATGTACCCAAATGCTATTGGGGAGATGCCATTCTTACTGCAGCGTTCTTGATCAATCGTCTACCCACTCGGGTTCTCGATCATGTAAGTCTTATTCACTCCATGACTTCTTTTTTTTCCTTTTGTTCCAACTTTGCATAGTCTTCCTCCTCGAGTGTTTGGGTGTATTGTTTTTGTTCATATTCATAAACAGCATCGCAGTAAGTTGGATCCTAGGGCTCTTAAATGTGTCTTCCTTGGATATGCTCCTGATAAGAAGGGCTACAAGTGCTATCACCCTGGAAGTCGAATTTTTTTTGTTTCTATGGATGTTACATTTCAAGGATCTGAGTCTTTTTTCCAAGGTCCTCATCTTCAGGGGGAGAACAATTCACCAGAAGACTCATCACCTTCCTTCTTTGAATCTTCAGTGTCTACTCCTTCACCTGTGTCAGTGTCTCTTCCTCTTGTTCTTGTTCCTAATGTGTCTATGTCTGATCCTCCTGTAACTGATCCTCCTATGACTGATACATCAAGTACACCAGAGATACGGAAGATTGTAACACCTGAATTGGTATATCAAAGAAGGAAACAACCCACATTGCCTCAACAGCAACCTCAATCGTCTGAATCACTGGTAAGTCCTGAATCTCATATTTCTGATCATGATTTTAATACTTCTGATGACATGATTTACCCATTGCTTTAAGAAAAGGAAAAAGATCTTGTTCCAAGAAAACTTGTTCTTCCTGTCCCTCTTGTACTCAATACCCTATCTTCCATTTTGTTTCCTCTGCTAATCTTTCTGTGCAGCACAAAAGCTTTGTTTCAGCACTAGATTCTACTTCAATCCCAAAATCAGTACATGAAGCTTTGAAAGATGGGAATTGGGCTCAAGCCATGCAAGAGGAGATGAATGCGTTGGAGAAAAATAAAACATGGGAGGTTATTGATAGACCCAACGGAAAGAAAGCAGTAGGGTGCAGATGGGTTTATGCACAGAAATATAATTCTGATGGCACTCTTGAGAGATACAAGGCTCGATTAGTCGCCAAAGATTACACTCAAACCTATGGCATTGATTATGAAGAAACCTTTGCTCCAGTTGCAAAGATGAATACAGTGAGAATCTTGTTGTCCCTTGCTGCCCATTACAATTGGGATATAAATCAATTTGATGTGAAAAATGCTTTCCTCAATGGTGAGTTAGAAGAAGAAGTCTACATGGAAATCCCGCCTGGTTTTGATTCTGCGAAGGGGGAAAATAAAGTTTGTCGATTAAAAAAGGCCTTGTATGGATTGAAACAGTCACCTCGTGCTTGGTTTGGAAGGTTTACTAAGGTTATGATGACCTTAGGATATAGACAGAGTCAAGGAGATCACACTCTTTTCTTCAAGCACTCCCAAAATGGGAAACTTACTGTGCTCCTTGTATATGTTGATGATATTATTATCACAGGTGATGATTTTGTGGAGAGACAGATTCTGCAGACACGACTTGCCTCTGAGTTCGAAGTCAAAGACCTTGGGAAACTGAGATATTTCCTAGGGATAGAAGTAGCTCATTCAAGCAAAGGAATTTTTATCAGTCAGAGGAAATATGTTTTGGATCTTCTCAAAGAAGCAGGGAAGCTCGGGTGTAAACCCTCTAATACTCCTATTGAGCAGAATCACAAGATAGGCTTTGAAGAGAGGAGTCCTCCAGTTGATCAAGGACAATATCAACGGCTAGTTGGAAAATTGATATATCTGGCTCATACTAGGCCAGACCTAGCTTATGTTGTTACTGTTGTCAGTCAGTTTATGCACGATCCAAAGGAGAAACACATGCAGGCAGTAGAGAGAATTCTTCAGTATCTTAAAGCTACTCCTGGTAAAGGATTGTTATTCCGACGTGATGGTAATCTCTCTTTAGAAGTCTACATTGATGCTGATTATGCTGGATCCGTGACTGACCGTCGTTCTACCACTGGTTATTGCATGTTTCTTTGCGGTAACTTGGTGACATGGAGAAGTAAGAAACAAGATGTGGTTGTCAGATCAAGTGCAAAAGCTGAATTTTGAGCTATGGCTCAAGGCATTTGTGAGTTACTGTAGCTGAAAATTGTACTTGATGATCTCAAAATAAAATGTGAGGGACCTATGAAGCTGCTATGTGATAATAAGTCCGCTATTTGTATAGCTCATAATACAGTTCAACATGATCAGACTAAACATATTGAGGTCGACCGCCATTTCATCAAAGAGAAACTTGATAGCGGGTTGATTACCACTCCATACATTCCCACTGGGCGTCAATTAGCTGATCTATTGACAAAGAGACTTCCTTCAGATAGATTTCAAGAACTTACTAGCAAGCTGGGAATGATAAATATCTATTCCTCAGCTTGAGGGGGAGTGTTGTAAATATTAGGTCTTTTATTATTATTAGTATTTGTTGTATTGGGCCAAGCCCATTAGGTCAAGAATTAGGTTTTTTAGTCTCTATAAATAGAGACCTCTTTGTATCAGATTAATACACAATTCAATAATATTTCAAATACCCTTTTCTTTCGAGTGCCTCTAAAATTACAAATAAGCTGGCCTTCAATTGGATGTTACGCCTTGGCTACATTGCATAATTTAGAAATATTTGCATGTAATAACTTTATTTCTAGGTTACAGACAAAGCAATACCTTTATATTCTCAATAATGCACTATGCCTTTGTCATTAATTGGTTTCTTGTGATATTTTGCAGGAGACTATAGTCTTGAATCTCTTCTGGAAATGATTGCTTCACATTTAGATGCTACAGATGCAGAGTACAATACATGGAGGGTGTTCTCTTCATGTTTCTTTAGACTATCTCACTATGAAGAGGACTGCATGTCTGCATGCCCCGGTAAACATGAAGATGGACATAGGCAACATTGTTCCTTCAGCAAAACCCCAACAATGTTTACAAAAATATCAGGAAAGTCTTGGAGGCTTCGCTGTAGGTGGTGGTTAACAAGACATTTCAGCAATAGCAAGCTTGAATCAGAGATTGAAGCTGGTATATATTTTGAGAGTTTAATTTTGATTTACAATGTGAGAAATTATTTTACACTATCATCCAAATATATATTGTCATATTGTTTGAAGAGTTTGACTATGATATAACTAACTATGGGGATCAATCTCTTTCAATGATATTGCAAGACATGATTGGATGATAGCGTGAAAATTTTTTACACTTGAGTATATGAATCAATTTCACTAGACATGTTGCAACACATTCACGTACTATTATTGTTTTATTTTAGCAATGTTAATTTGTTTTACCAAATGTTATATGGAGCAGGTGATTTGCAGCTACTCGCATACAAAGCAGCATGTGCATCCTATATGTATGGACAGGAATTCAGCTATGTTGCGAAGGCTTATTCTCATTTAGAAAAAGAAAATGATAAGGACTTGCTGTTGTTTTTGGATGAACACAAAAAAAAATCATTTGGATTTTATAAGAAGTTTCAAAAGAAAGCTATATATATAACATAATAATATGATATATTTATGGGTTTTATTAATCTCAGGTTAAGGGAGATAAGTTATCTCATGTCATAGAGATAAATTTGTGGACTCCACCATCTGAAAAATAAAAAGAAAAGAAAAGAAAAAGGTGACATAGTTATCGAAGAGTGTGTAGGAGAGAAAGTTATTACATGTAGTATAAGAGTAGTTTTTTCCTATATTTATTGCATAGAACTAATCGTTATTTGCTTGCTTTATCTCTGTTTGGATGGCATTTATGGTTTCAACCTTATTTACTGTCTGCAACTTGTAAAATTCATATGCTTATTGTCTGGTGAAATATCAACTTGACTTCAAAAAAAAAAAAGGGGGCAGAATTTTACCTTAAAAACAAAAAATGGGAGAATGAGTAAAAGAACGGGCGAAATAAAAAAAATGCATAAGTTTAAATGACAATACATAATAAAATGTATTTTATTTTACACAAAACTTAAAAACATAATAAAATATAATTTATATTATCTAAAATTGGAAAAAGAATAGGAAGCAAATGGTAACACTCGAAATAAAATAGGTCAATTTCCCAGCAGTCTTAAATATTTATTTGACCCTGAAATTTTTTTTTTGGTAAAAATTTGACCCTGAAAGTAAATAAAGCGGAAATTGCATTGACATTTTTTTTATTTAAAAAATTATACTTACCTCCGTTTTTTAAGTACATGTATTTTTTATTTTTATTTTTTTAAAAAAATAAGGGTATTAAAGTGTAAAACCAATTGATAAAGTAAGAGGAATGTAATTTTTTTTTTTTTTTTTTTTTTGAAGAGTAGTGCCAATGTAATTAGAGTTAATCCATTGGAATGCGGTCTAATTTTCGTTTAAGTTAAACTTGACAAATTATTTTTTGAATTAGAAAGCTTTTATCTAGTGAAGGCCATCTCCGGTATGTTCAAATATCATCCAAGATTTATCATGCAATTTTTATTCCTCTCTCCTAGTGAATGGAAGAAGTATGTCACTTTCGCTTTGATTAGATGATGTTTATGTCTCATAATTTTCTTAGTTACACTTCTAGTTTTCCTGTTAGTTACTTGGTTCTACTGTATATGGCTGCACCAGCTCGTGAAGAATTTATGAACCATTTTAATATTCTAGTTGAAAAAATCTCGTTTTTTGTGTGGATGTCAAAGAAATATTAGTTAGTTTCTAAATTATGTCCAACTCATAATTTGTGTATTATGATGGCAATATCAAAACTAGTGCAGCTTTAGTGGCTTATGCCTCAAGTGATGTACCACCACTACTACCTTTGAACAACTTAAGAACCTAATCCTGGCACGTTAAGCGCAGGCCTAAAGTTTATGTTATTATTATATGCAGCAGCCTTAAACGGTTAACATGCGATACAATGTTTATGTAAATATAATATGGATTCGCATGCAGATAAGTTATTTGCAGTAAGCTTAATACGACGTCATTTTGGGACGGAAATCATGATATTTTTGTAATTTTAATTTATTTCAGGGTTATTATAGTCTTTATAATTATAAGTTTCTAATCTTCCAATCTCAAAACAACGTCGTTTTGAAAGTAAATGCAGACAATTTATCTGCATTAACTGCAGAAATATTTTTCTGATATAATATCAAACAAATTAAGTATCCGCTGTTTAAAATCAAAGCATGATACTTATCACCCTAAGTTGAGAATTTTCATGGATTCCATACGTCAATTTAGAACCGAAAAACTAAAGGATCTTATTGTTATTTGGGAAGGGGAAGCTACTTGATATTTTGATGATTCTATTATGGAAAATTACTCTTTTGGTGAACAAGAAACACCATTTTTGCATGTGACTCCTTAAGCTTTTAATTTTTTTTCTCAATTTAATCCTCGAATAATCTAGTTTATTTCAACTTGATTTTCTTTAAGCAGAAGGACCATATTGAGTCATTCAAAGCACTCCATTATTTAATTGAAAAAATTAGTTTAGGAACCACATTGACAAACATTTTACAATTTAAGGACAAAATGGAGTATACTCTTTATTGGATTTTATAATTTGATCTCGTCAATATCTTATTTTGTTTAAGGGTATATCAAAAGTTATGTTACATGATGTAAGATAATTTTTCTATACACACAATTGAGAAAAGAGATGAGAGAGAAAAATCATGGAATGAGACTCACATAAAATTGTGTGTAGGAAAGTTATGTTACATCACGTAACATAACAAATATAAAATCCTTTATTTAATTAGAACCTTAAAGCAAACTATTAATAATTGGAGTATATTTTTCTCACGTTACATGAGATAACATAACTCTCATTTATACATTAAAATTTGTGCCAATATTTATTTATTTATTTTTTAAAAGAGTGAGCCACATATAGGGTGTAAATAGGCTAGGCTAGGCTAGGCTTTGGCTTAAATAGGCCAGACCTGTATAAAAAATATTGAGTCTAGCCTGACCTGTTAGCCTGTGTAGGCCCCAAATTATAAGTTTGGTCTGCCATATATTTAAAAAATAAAAACCTTGACCTAGACCTGTTTAAGCCTATAAACATTCAATAATTAAAAGAATAACTAAAATAATATTATTTTATTATTCAAAATTATTAAAATAATAATGTTATTTATTTTATTTAAAATAAATAATATGATATAGGTCGCCGGCCTGTAGGCTTATAAGCCCGACATATACAAAAAAAGTCTATAGCATGTTTTTTAAATATGTTTTTTTAAAACCTAGGTCTATTCTATTTTACTATTTGTAATAGGCCAAATCTGACCTAATATAGGCGAAGTCGTAGGTTCCTGTAGGCTGACCTAGCCCATTTATACCCCTAGCCACATATACTTTATGTCTATTACATGAGCTAACATGTATCCTACAACATTAGATTTTGTGTTCACCTTAACAATTTTATGTCAAGTTTTAATTGCTTGTTAATCAAACTATTCTTATCACAATATTCCCAAGTCTTAGGGCCTGTTTGGTGTGACGTATAAGATCTGATAGTATAAGCTTATACTATACGTTATGACATTTTCAGTTGTTTGGTGTGACCATCGTATAGTATAAGTTTATACAGCAGGATCCCTTAATACATCAAAACGATGTATAACTTAATCCGGCCTAAGAGAGATGAATAAAGCCTGATAAGAGGTTGATGTATTAATTTCGTTGACTAGTGTACTTCTCAAAAATTAATATATTATTTTAATATTAATATATTAAAATAAAAATTAATTTTTAAAATATTGAATATTTTTGTTTTTATAAAAATTAATTTATGTTTTAGACACACTTATCAATAAATTTTTATAAAAATTAATATTATATGATATTTTTTGAAGAACTATATAAATTATTTATTAAAGGATATTTTTATTAAAAATTTATTTTTATCCTATATAGTATTATACGGTACATTACCAAATATTAAATGATATTATCTTATACAATATATTATTTATATAATACCGTACCAAATGTTGGATAGTATTAAAATTCAATCAGGTCTTATACAATCAGACCTTATACTATCAGGTCTTATACTATCAGACATTATCCTATACTATGCACCAAATATGCTCTTAATTAATTAATTGTACAACTTGGTGGAATAAATGTTGACCATGCCAACTAATCAAAATGTGACCAGGTCACATCGTTTGATTGGTTTGTAGCTAAAGCGTGACCAAACCACTCCATCCCGGTCCAACAGCAGTTTGGTCCGATTTTCATAACTAAGTTTAAAATAGTGCCGCTTAATAATTTAATATAGTTATTTTACATCTTGATAAATTTAAGGGGCTATATGTACCATATTCTCTTATTTTAATAATGCTTTTCACATACACCCTATATCTCCTCCTACTTATGAGTCAGCATTAATTTCACGTTTTTGGCTAACATCAGAAACGAAAATATCCTGCCAAAAATGCCTTCATGCCATCTAAGCACGTGTAAAAAACAAGTCAATGAAGACTTTCACTGAGGTCAAAGGCATTGTGGAATTGGTAACTTGAGTCAATTAAGGCGCGTTTACATATTTTGTAAACGTGACAATTATTAATTTCCCACGTGCTGTGCAAGTCAACAATGATTGCTCAATGTATCTAAGGCAGGCAACTATATGTAATTATCATAGTAAACTAAGATAATTAACAAGAAAAAATACTCTTAATATCTATTTGATTATCGTTGGATCAATTTAAAATCAACAATTGAAAAAGATAAAAAATTAGCTTAATTTTAAATTCATTTAACAATAACCAAACAGATAATAAGAGTGGTAAATTTGAAATAGTGATAAATATAACGACTCCCAAATAACAATACAAATTAGTATGCTTTTGACATCAATGAATTAGTTTAAAGAGTTTTATAATTCTCAAGTTATATGAGAATTGAAATCTTACGTTATAGAGACAAAAAAACATATGAGACCCATATATTAAAAAAAATTATGTATAAAAACATGTCAACACGAAAATCGAAAGGTGTGTAGGAAGATTTCAATTCTCATGTTGAATGAGAATTATAAAAACCTAGTTTAAAATGCAAAATTATAGTTCTAGAACATAACCGGGCATGCATACCACCTCAAGAGAACATGCAACCATATACAACACACGGGTGGTTATGAGACCTACAACCATACACAACAAAATAATAATAAATGAAAAACAGTAGTGGTGTAATTACCTGAGGTTATTTCATCAAACAGAACAAAGTCTGTACAGGTTGATAGATACAAAGTTCTTGGTGCCAACAATAAATGAGTTGGGCAGTGTGACTGTCTATATATGTGCAAGTACATATACAAATTACATAACAAGATATGAATTATGTTCAAAAATAAATTTGCCAAGAAGGCCACAAGACAGGAATAGAGAAAGATGTTGACTTCATTGATTTCTACACATCCCTCCTTCCAGGATTCAAAGCTTCTGATTTGCATATGGGGCAGACATTTTTGACAAGCAACCATTTCCTTAAGCACTCTGCATGGTATTCATGCTCACATCTAAGTATTCCAATCTTCTCTTGGTTCTTGTATTCATCCTGTGGAATTTTATACAAAAGTCCAATTAATGGAGCATAATTCATTATTAGTACATCAAAGGCAGAACTATCTCCCAAAGTTAAACCGAATGAAATATCATCTCCAAAAGTTTATACCTGGCATATTATACACGAATCAGTTTCCTGATCATCAGAAGGTGCCTCCTCAAGATTAATAGCAGTAGCAAGCGTTAAATAAGTTTTTGTCTTCAATTGAGTTGTAATTGTCTCCTCAGATAAACCAGTGCTTACATTGCCAATCCGTTCACCCAATGCAAGAAGATCCTGCGGTCAAATTTCAGGTGTAAAATTTTATAATTTTCCATAATCTCTAAAACTTTATTACCCTAGACTTCACACATGTCCACATTGATAGGAAAAATACAATATCAATCTTAGTGTACTTGCCTCGTAAGACATATCCTCTATGTCCAAGCGCATATCTCTGTGATGGTCAACCAAATTTCCCACTTCATCAATTAAAGCAACATCCTACTCGAATAAGCTTTAATTGTTAAGAAAATAACATGATTGTAACGTGAAGAAAGTATTATTGTTTCTACATAAGGACAACATTCAGAGTAAAAAAGTAGTTAATAGGACATATTACATCAACTTGGAGAAAGCCCACGCGCGGAAGACTTCGATGGCCAAGAGTTGTCTCTGGCATGATGCCTCTATGAGGTCGGTAAATCCGGAGGGCTGCTGATGGAGCAGGGCCAACATGCCTAGGGCCCATCTCAAAACCAGTCTGTGTAGGGATAGCAGCACTTCGTGAAGGATTTGTTGGAACTCTAAATGAAGCTGCAGTTGCGGGAGGGTGAAAGTTGATACCGTGGCCTCTTACTCCTTGCATGGGCAATGCTGGATGATGATAATTATGGTGCTGTTGGTTGACAGGAGGAGGAGGAGGAGGAAACCTAAGGCCATTTCTATTGCCAGCTGGATCATGATATCTCTGCAAACCCATACTTGCATTCTCTAATGAACTTCCGTTTACATTGGGTGCTGGAGAACAATAGGGACAGACAGACAGATTAAACTCATAACCAACATAACAAATTCAAAGATATACTTGTGTGTATAGTCAGTCACTTAATTTACACCATAGGAGGAAGATCATACACAGAAAAAACACATGCATTTACTCCAGTCTTATGCACAAACTGAGTGTCACTAACAAGACTTCTTATAAATTTATTGCTTGGTTGAAAATACCACATCCAAAAAGCTGTAGTTTCCAGCTTTCATCAGGAAGCCTGAAAAGAGCTTCTTACATGTTGTCACAAATTATTTACTTACAGGATATCAAATAATGATACAAAATTGCTAAAAGGAGAACCTCAAACAGGGAAAGAGAAAAAAAAAAAATCTTTACCTTGTATATAAGGCATTGGAAGAGACTGATTCCAGGTTGTGGTATGGCCATCATTGTTATTACTATTCAAATGCGGGTCCAACCAGGGAGGAGGAGCTGGCTGAAAGTGCTGCCCTAAATAGTTTCCATGAATCAAATGGTTATGGTCATGCACCATGATAGACTCGCCTGATCTGCTCCATGCACTAGCATGTGGTCCTACTTCCACAAGTGAAGGGACACGGAATGAAAATGATGCAGTATCCATCATAGCAACCCCATCAGTGTGTCTTGCATTAGGGGGAGCAATTGAAGAACTAGCAGAAGCATTAAAATACTGGTAATTTCCTCTAATCCCTTCAGCACTTTTCCTTTTGTATGGACCTCTGACATCATCCACGAAACCGGTGCTTCTTCCGAAATTATCCGAAGAAACTCCAGAGGCTGCAAATGTGCTTGGACCTGGCAACTGATCAGAAGCTCTGTGATTTAGAGGCAAAGGGAATACACCAGTACTAGAAGAAGGATTCATGCCAGAATAATATAAGTTGGCTGCAGCTGCAACACCAATATCAAGATTATGTTGAGGCGGAATGCCATTGTATTGTGTAACCCCATACACCCTAGCATTGTCATAAGCATCTGGTAAATAGTGGGAATCAACATTAGTTGTGTTCCCTGAAGCTGTCACCAAGGTGCGGATATTAGGCTGTGAGATGCTGGTGGTGCCTCTCAAAAGGATACAGGGTTCAGAATGAAAATAGCCTTGCCTTTGTTGATCCATTTCTGAATCCGTCATCTGATCCATAATGTAGAGATTTGCTTATGCAAATTAATCCTAAAATTTCAGGCAGGGTGAGTAAAACCAGTCAGATACATAAGAAATAAATTAAAACTGAACATAAGATAATAACGAAGCACAAATTCTGCACAAGATAAAGGGTCATCTGGTCCATAATGTAGAGATTTGTTTATGCAAATTAGTCCTTAAATATCAGGCAGGGTGAATAAAACCAGTCAGTTACATAAGAAATAAATTAAAAACTGAACACATGAAATAATAACAAAGCACAAATTCTGCACAAGATAAAGGGTACCGGGCAGTCAATTTTTCACATTCTAATATTTCATATATCAACATTAGACAGTGGATAACCTGTCCCTTAGACAAATAAGAGAAATAACTTATGATACATACATAGGACATGTAAGATGCAGCTTCATCTTTCAAGAAAGAGCAAACTTGAACCAATAAGGTACGATCATGAAGGGAAGAAGGCGTAAAAGCAATCCAAGTCCAAATATAAAACACCAATAAAAATATCCTTCTGAGTTAAAACTAGTCACCCCTGATAAAATTCCTTCAAACATGTTAATAATAACCCCATAATCATCATTAAAACATGAGAAGTTCAAAGTAATGAATTTCAGAGCCCTTGTGAATTATAACAATCATTAAATATATACATAAACAAAAATAACATCAAAGAGACCAAAAAAAACATAAAAATATAATTTAAAAAAAAAAATTATTCTTAATCCATAGCATCCTCCCAAATACACCACCCATCAAACAACACTAAAAGAACAGAGAATAAAACTTACCTTGTTATCATCAAAACAAGAGCTTGCAGCCTCTAAGTTTCAGATATCAATATTACTTACAAGGAACACCCCCAAAATCAACTCTGTTAAAAATTCACACAAAAAAAATTAATTTTTTAAATTAAAAAAAAAAAGCAAATTTATTAATGGGGTTGAAAGGAGAACGTCAGAAATTAAAATCGGATGAATGTGGTCGCAACCCACAAATGCAAGTTCTTTCCTTTCATCGAAAAACAAAAAATAACGAGATTTTAACCCTAGATAGCCACAGAAAAAGCACAAAACTTGTAGTAAAAAAAATTGAAAATTTGATTTAAAGAAATTCAATTACCAGAGAAAGAAACCGAGGGAAGCGAAGAATGATCACGATCAGTGATTGAAGGATCGGAGAGGGGAAGGAACAATGAATAGAGAGAGAAAGAGAAAGAGCGCGAGAGAAGAAGAGAGAGGAAGAGAATGAATATGAAGAAGAGGATCGTGTCTTTCATTGGAGAGAAAATTTCATCTGTCTTTTTATTTTTATTTTTCTTTATTTTCTTGTAATTATATATATTTTTTATATAGTGTTTTTCTTTATTTTTTTTAGTCATTATAATATTAGCAGTAGTGATTAATTGTAGGAGAAAAAAAAGTGAAATTTTTTTATATATTTTTTTTGGTAAACAAAAAAAAAGTGAAATTTTAATTAGCAAATTTAGAACAAAATATAAATTATCTTTTTTGTTTCTCGAGTCGGTTTCTTGAATCATTGGAATTATTTGACATCTACGGCAAGTCACATGGATTTCCAAAGTAATTAAGGCAGATATTATTTTCATTAAACTTATTTTGCTTCTTATAAAGAGAAACAAATTTGTTAAATTTTCTACTTTTTTTAATTTTTTATTAATATAAGGTAGGTTTTTTTTAAGAAAAGAAAAAAAAAAAGTTAATTGATGACAGTAAACCTACAAATTTAGATTGGGTAAAGTGGGTGGATACCTAAGAAAGCTAGTTTTTCGTTTTTAATGTGAGTGTGAAAGATTAATTGAATATGGTAATTGAAAAAATTGACTAGTTTTTAGATTGAAACCCAAGGGTAGCTAAAACAAAATAAATAAATAAACAAAATAATAATAAGGAAAAGTATTTATCATTTTAAATAACACAATCTTGTGTATTTTTAATTAAATGACTGTATTTTTATACATATTTAATAATTTTTTATATTCTTTTTTCTCCACAAAATTAGGAAGAAAGAGAAAGAAAATATTGTGGAGAAGAGATAAGGTAAAAATCACCAAAATATAATTATTTTACTTGAAATAACATAAAATTATGTCATTATTAAAATGATAAATATTTTTCTAAATAATAATAACATAAAAGGATAGAATTTATGACATTGGATAGTATATAGATATCTATATGTAACAATTTATCAACTAATTCTTGGAAATTTGACTTCCTATATTGTGGGTTTTAATTGGTTTGTTATTGTTAAACTACCAAAAGAACTCACCTCACAACCAACGCTAGCATAGAAGGTATAAAAAAATGCCAGTTGCTATCTCACGTAACATGTATGATTTAAAAAAAAAGAAAAAGAGAGGCATAAGTTAAAGTATTTAATTTTCTAATTACATGAATTGATACTACTATTTGTTTCCTCGTGTTTTGAAATTATTTTTATATAATCTCAAGGTTGTAAGAAATTGCGTGTAGGCCCTTCGGATGAGATTAGGTATTTTAGGTTTCCAATCCAATCATGCATTGTGGCATGGCGGTGATTAAAACATACCCACTTCCATACATTAAAAATTAGTTTTGATTCTAAAGCAACAAACTTCGTTTTCTTCTTCTTCATACAATGTCATTTTGTCTGAATTTTTTATAGTATATTTTGTCACTGTAAAACTAAAAATAAAAAATCTTTAATAATGTGTATTTGTGTGTTTAATTTGTTATGTAAGGGTTGCAGGTGCGATAAATAAATAATGGTCACAAAAAGGGAGGTGTTCTTAATGGTTAGAATACGTTATTAAATGAAAATACATATATATGGGAAAGGTGAAAAGTAGGATATAATAAGTGCCAAAGTATATTCTTTCTTTATCTTTTTAATTTTAATTTTAATTTTAATTTTAATTTTAATTTTAATTTTTATCCTTCAAAATGGCTCATAGAAAGATGGCACGACATGTTGAAGTGGGGCCTCTATACTCCGAGCCGCAAACAAATGATTAAACGTGGGTCTTCACTTTTTTTCTCGGGTCCTTAATCCTTAGCTACCCTCATCCCACTATTCCTATCCCATGTGCGGCAAAGGACACCATTCATACCACCAGAACATCATTTAATGGGAAAAATATTTGTAATATGTAAGGTAGAGTGATTTTAGTTAAAAATTATTTTTTATTTAATATTTTAAATAAAAAAATTCTTATTTTTCCAATTATAATTTTTATTAGAGAAAAATATTTCTCAAACTGATTGAGATATATTTTTTTCCAATTGCTTCAAAACTATGTCGTTTTGTTTATTTATTTTATTATATTAATTGATTCACTTTTAAATGGTTATAATTTTTTTTTCTCTTCTTTTATTATTATTGATCTGATAAAGTTATCTTAAACAGCTTGAGGAACGTTATTACGTAGTTAACTCTTTCTCTTCTCACAAAATACAGTAATTTGATTAAAATAACATATTCCTATATACTTTAAAAAGATAAACACAATTATATCGGGAAGTTAAAAAACTGATAAATGAATTTGTGGAAGATAGAAGTCATTCATGTGCTCACTAAACATATATATATATATATATATATATATATATATATATATATATATAAAAAAATGTTATATTTATAATATATTTTTATTTTTAACATCTTATAACCATTTTTTAACATTGACTTTTGCTAATCAACGGTTATTATTTTTGTAAATCAAATTCTAATTAATTATTAATTAGTAATAAATGATAACTGATGATTGGAAGAAATGAACGGTTAAGATATGATTGTAAAATGTTGTAAACAAGAATAGATTATAAGTATAACCTTTCACTCTCTATATATCTTAGTGTGTATGGATCATAATCTTTTTACACTTGTGCGATTTAAGTGAATCGTATATCTATATCGTATGGATACAAGCTCAAAGATATCTATGAGAAAGATATTTTATTGGCTTAGAGCCAATGTACCAATTATTGTGCACAAGTAACAAGCTTATAGCAAAGACATGAGTGTGTGCACAGTGTTAGTAACAATAGTAAATAGGTTAAAAGTGTATACCTGGAGTCTTTGGCCTCTTATTTGTAGAGTTTACATTTGTGGATTTACAATTAGATATCCCTTGATTTATATGATAGCTGTCTTATTTGTCGGAAATAAGGATCTTATTCCTTGATCTTTCTTGTATTATGTTTTTATGATAAGATTAAGATGAATTATGATTCCTTATTGGATATGTGGTTGAGATATGGATCTAATCTATAACAACACTAATATAAATTATACTTTCAGTATTAGTCGTTAATTTATATTAAATGATTTTCATTTATTAGATATATAAGTCATTAGATGAAAGCAAATTAGTGACCAATATTTAAAATATGACTTCTTATTCTTATACCGGTATAAGAATAATCTAGATAGATAGACATACACCAATACCATTTAATTTTATCTAATTTTTTATCTTATTTCTTATTTTTAAAAAGTTTATACAGGTGATATTTTCGTAATTATTAAAAAAAAGAAATAAAAACACAAAACGTTTTCTTGATACAAAGACGCCTTGCTTTCACATTTCCCATGTGCTTGAACTGATGGACCATTAATATATGTTCAATTAACTGAAAGGGCACAAGGACAATCCTGAATCCAAATTTGACAACTTTTTAAAATAAAGTGTATTATTGGAAAACGCAACTAGTTTCCCATCCTAGCTTGCAAACTAAACCAAAGTGTGCTTCAAACAGTTTCCTTAAGAACAAGATTACAAGATTCTCTTAATATTATCTGCTTCGTTCAGTTTGCAATTTCCGTACGCAATAGCGTTCTGATTATATTCTCACTTTTTAAACAAGCATCCATCAAGAAATCATTCGTTGGCATTTTGAGAATGTTCCACCATGCAAAACTTTCTACTATTTTTTTTTTTAATTTGGTTTTTTTGGATTGAGTTAGGTCCTCAAATATTTTCATAATATAGACGAGAATATATATATATATTAATCTCGAATCGAGCAAAGTGATAATTATTTAATTCTCACCCCAAATTTGAACCCTCTCCAACTAAAACTTTGCTGGCTAGAATTGTGGGGTAAGGAATACTTCCATTTGTTTATAAATAGATACCAGAAGAACATTTTAGTCTTTAAATGATGCAAAATTAAGGTGAACAAGGGACGTAGAAGTTGAGCTACAAGAAAGTATATTCCTTGCATATGCTCAAAGAAAGATTATACCTTGTATTCCAAATGAAACAAATAATAATATAAGTAGTTCACACCATACATATAACATTCGCAGGCCAAACATTTCCTTCGTATCAAAACAACTGTAACAGTCACTCTTCTAAGATTCCTGGTCTCTTTTTAATGGGAAAAACTATTCTTATGCTACGTGTGGTAACTTTCTCTCCTACACATTATTCGATAATTGTGCCACCTTTTTCTTTTCTTTTCTTTTTATTCTTCAGGTAATGAAATCCACAAATTTATCTTTATAACATGAGATAACTTATCTTCTTTAACATGAGATTAATAAAACCCCTTTTTGATTCCAAATTATACAAACATCAACTTTTTATAAACCGTTCTTTTCCCTTCTAATTGAGAGGAAGAGAGTATGATGTTCTCGTCTTCTCGAGATGGTAAGGTGTGATCAACCAATATATATTCAATGGACGTTTTAAATTGGTTTAATATTTCTCATGTTGTAGGGGATAAATTTATCTTTTATATACGCATAAAAATTGTGGGATCCATGTGAAGTCATGTGAGAAGAAGAGAAAGGGATAAAAAAATATGGGTCGTGTACATTTTTGTATGTATGTAGGAGATAACTTTACCTCTCATAATATGAGAAATATTAAATCATTTTAAATTTAAATTTTCTTTTAATGAATTATATTTTTTTTTTTACAAAAATCGGATGAAAATGGCAGGTTATTTTTATACGGTATAAAAATAAAAAGTCTTTAATTTTTATATGTTATTTTTAAATCCAATTGCCCTGAAATGTTTATTTGTTAAACTAGACGTGTGTGTCTTTAATTTGCAACAAACCCCATTCAATTTGGAGTTCTACACATCCAGATATAAATTTTTGAAAACAGGACATATTTGAGGTTTATAGGTTTCACGAATTTTATATCACTTCCAATTATTCAAAACTAACTCAATCAACTCCATACCCATTAAATACCATGAATACACATCAAAACATAACATATACAGATGATTTAAAATCATACA